ATAAACAGAGTTGACTGTATTAGGCTTTCTCAATGTGGTTGCATGCTATAGCTAGTTCATTGAAACGCGATAAACGATGCAGACTAAAGAAATATGTATCTTACTTAACTATTCATCAATTATGCTTATTGTAAATGTAATGAGCAGTTGCTACGATAATGTACTCTAGTTATTGTAATAACTACTTGTTACAAAAAGGAAAACAAATTTATCGTGGACACGACGCTTTACTTTTCTATTACTATATTAATATAGGATCTCGCTAGATCACGTGGATTGATTAGTCGATCATTTCCCAATATAATAGTAAATAAGCAAGAATTTTTTTTGAATAACGGCAATGCACTGCACGGTTATTTAAGCCTGATCTCTATGACAACGACACGAGGCAAAGAACGCCAATCTATCCTATCACATGTCTTTAAACAGATTCTCTCGGATCCTCCTATACCAAGCAAGAAAAGAACATTTGAAGATGTATTCACGCCTTCTAAATGCTTTCCAGACTTATGGCAAACGAGACAAGAGCTAAGAGAGAAGGAGGATTTATTACTATCCAAAGGAAGAACTACCAGAGCTGGTAGACTGCGAATAGAGAGGCAAACTGTTGGAGAAAAAATTAGACAGGACGCGAAAGATTGTACAAGAAATGGCTGGAATGGAGATTTACATGATAGTGGCGAGAATGTCAATGAGGGTATAAACAAGGATATGACGAAAGAGACAATAAACGAGAATAATAGCGAAATAACGCATAAACGCAAAAGACAAAAGTCAAATGAAATTTCGGCTGATAAGCATAGTCGCGAAATTACTAATCAGTTAAACACTGAACTTGATGGTAACGAACTATCTTGTAATGATAATACGGTGCCTACTCAATTGACGAATCACGCAAAGCAAGTTACGCAGAATAATACAAAAAGAAAGTCTAGAGATTTAACGGAATCGGAGAGAAAGAAAGTCAAGACAGCCAAACCTGACGTAATTAAAAGAGGCAGAGGAAGACCAAAGGTTATTATTAGTATTACTTTAATATTGATCTTTGTCGCTGCCGGCATCTCACACATAAAGAATAATACACGAACGTTTTATTCTTGTATCTATAGAAATACGAAACAACTACTTCATATGCGCAATCAACTCAGTTAGTGCATCCATATCTCGCAACTCATTCACCAACACACATCGAAACAAAGGTTCCTCGATTGCGTCTTATATTGAAGAAACGATGTGAGCCACCTTTGCAATCAACAGATGCCTCACATTCGAGCACTCCCGCCTATACTCCAGATATGCAGAATACTCCTAATGATAAGAAGAAGTCGGAAGGAAAAACGGGACTAGTTCCTTTAGATCCGTTGAAAGAGTCACAGCTGAGGTCAGTGTTGTGCACCACGAAGAAGCAATTAAGTATAAAAGCAGCAAGAATGAAGAGGAAATTGCTGTTGAGAGAGGTAAGTAGGCGAAAACTACGGGATGTATATTCGCATGACTTTAATACGATCATGAATTCACGCACTTTTCTCCAGTCCAAACGCGCAGTTCAATTACCAATATTCGACATTGACATTTGGATACACAACCATATGCGATCGGGAGTAGATTTACTTCCAATCACATATCAATCGCCGCAGCCGAACTCATCGTCGCTCTCTTCGCCTTTGCCTACATCCCAAGATACATCACAACAACAAGGGGACGATTCGTCTCGTTCAGAAGAATCCCCCGTCTTGCAGGAATCGGACTGTGTCAACGCTGCTTCTACAGATCGCAGTGAAATTGAATCTAGTCTTAACAGAACCAAAAGTATTAAGAGGCCTCTTTCACGATATTTAACATCTTTTGCATCCAGAATACATGGAGTACCATGCTATTGGCGTACGCTGACAAACCCGTCTCCTCTGCTTTCTGCGTATACTTCAACTCCCCTTCCACCATATGTATTTCGTGATTACTGGACGCGCCCGCCTAAACTTCTTCTCCTGCATTCCATTCTCACGTACCCCCATCGCGACAAACCCTCGTCCTCTTCACCACTTTCTAGTCCAATAGATTTCTGTTATTTCCAACCGGAACATTTGCTCCAAGTAAATGAATTACTACAACGGGTGTTCTGGCCAGGTAT